ATCAACCAGTGATGCACTTGCATTCATCCTCACGTTTCCCAGGTTTGTGACAGGTACACTTTAAATGGTATGTAACGGCAAAACTTGTATTGAATGGGAGGGACAGACCTCTATAAGTTTTTATTGTAGACTGTGTCCATGCTGGAGAGATTTAACTCTAAATTTATCTTGGTGACCATTGTCACCAAGACAGAAAGTAAGGGGAAGGCCAAAATTTTAGAGTTGTCACCAAAGCAAGCGTTGAGAGTAAATTATCTAATGAGGGCTAATGTTCAGGTGACCATTATCAGGTTCGATTCCCTATTATTCCCTGTTACATCTGCAGGGCAGGAAGTAAGGGTAGCTTCTAAGTAGGACAAAGACAGACAAAAATATCCAGACGGGCGTTTTAAACCCGTTCCTACTCTATCCAAAACAAAAAAGAATGGCTAGACATACATTTTAACGGTTATGTATAATTGCTAAAGCAAGCCTGTCACAAACCCATGAAACGTAACCTGAACATAAAATTACATAAACGGCAGTAGCATTTGTAAACTTTACAAGTTAAAAACTATGTCCATCTTTTGCAAAAAAAAAAAAAACTGCAGCTGTAAATGCAGCAACATTAATCCTATGATCAATGTACATTTATGAATTTTTGCATTGAAGCTTGCAGACCACTGCACCCGCCATCAGTGAGTGTAGTATGAAATATGGGGGGGTATACTAAAGGAAAATAGATTGTGCACTTTGCAAGTTCAGTTACTCCAGAGCTTAGTAAATGAAGTGAAGCTCCGCTTAGCAAAGAATACCCAATCACATGCAGGAAAAAGAAAAAAACAGCATTTTGCTTGTACATGATTGGATGACGGAGGAACTCTGGAGGAACTGCACTCACAAAGCACAGAGTCTATTTGCCTTTAGTAAATCAGCCCATCAGTAGAAAACAGGGACTCAAGCTGGCCGTATACTGGTTGAAATTTTCCATAAGATAATGACAGTATCACTGAACAACAGATAGTGACAGGAGGTAGAAAAGGAGGTACAGGAAAAGTCTAGATGTACATATACAATATGTAGATTACACTGGTTATGTGTATTTCAGCATATATAGTTTGATTTGCCAATGTTTTTGACTTTTGTACTTTATGGATAGAATAAATAATGTTTGAATACTTGTCCATCTGCCCATACATTATCCAGTGCTTAAAAAAAATGAAAGCTACTGTATCCACATGCTAGCCAGGCAGCTAGCATTTTCAGAAGGGGAGAAGTCGACTCGCCAGTGATGGTCTCCATATTCTCTATGTACAGGTTTCCTGTAATGAATGTTTCTAGTGCTATAATATAAGGAGAGCCACCTCATTTTACATGATCAGTTTAAGCATGAGCATCTACAGCCTGAAGGAACTGAGGTGACACATTTTATATTTGCTTGGGCTACACACCACATGATTATGCTTTTCTAAATCAAAAAGTGGCAAAATGAATAAAATAAAGATTTATTAGTAAGTCAAGTTTTCAGAGGGCTCCCAGTAGACCAGCAAGTGTGCATTCTCATGATCTGCAGTCAGAGCATAAATATATAGATATATACAGCTTCATAAAAAAAAATTGTGCTGCCTAACCACAAATCAAATTTGGAATTTCATATTCCAGTTAGAAGTTTTGAATCTGAAATTTCAAATCTCATTGGCAAAGGCAGTTATTATTTAAGATGAAGATTTATGAATGAGGACTATACAGCATAATGTTCAGACTATGTCACTATAGAAAAGGATGACATTACCTCCATAAACTGACATGGCAGAATGATAACAAACTGGATTTTTGCGAACTGGCACCAGATTTCTAGTCTTTTTTTTAATTGCGGACTAACACCAATGTTGAAACAGTAGGTCTTCCTTATATTCAGAGTGCTTTATTTGCTATATTATGCTGAACAAAATATAGGATTTCATAATTGAATTTCATTGTTCAAGGGCTACAAATATCTAATAGACAAAACATGTCCAAGCTTTTAGGAGCTAACGGTAAAAAAAAAAAAGGAAAATAATTACAAGGTCTGCTCTCTCGATAAGGCCCCTTTCACACGATGTGTCTGTTTTACACCCACCTATATCCAGTCCGATTCACTAAAAACAGACGGATGGTGATCCATTCCTCTTCTGTCCAGCAGATCAGATCAGATGGCAATCAGGTGTAAATGGACAGACGGCTCTGTGCATGTTCACTCTGCATAAGCAGAGCAGACATGGACCTGTCATCCATTCAATGGAGGTCAGTAGACAAATCCCCATGCTGAGCAAGCAGATCACAGGTGGATTCATCCCAGTGTGAAAGGGGCCTGAATGTGCCTGAGTGTTTGTGGCATTTATTTACCTATCTTTTAATATGACATTTTGTTTGTGTTATCACCTGGCAAAAAAATTTAATGGTTTCGGATATATCTGCCAAGACAAAGGGACAGATATGGGAGCTGGCATTCCTACTGACACTACTGCACTTGTTCAATGTATCTAGAGATGGGGAAGTTTTTTGTACAAAGAAATAGCACAAGTAGGGATTTACTGAACTATGACATTTACAGTCAGTACATTTATAAACGTTTGCCCAACATTTCAAATGTCCAAGGAGGATACATTGACTCTGACAGTCTTTGGCTGCCATAGAGAAGCAGTTAGTGGGGTTTATAGGGATCTGCCAAGATGGAACAATGCATTTGCCAAGCAATATTGCACATATGGAGATGGTCTCTAATTGGCCATCTTAAACACATAGGAGAAGAACTTTTTGTTATCACTCACACATTATTGTTACATAAACGTACAAACTTGTCTCCTCCAAACATGCATGGATATCAGACAGGCACCAGGGAACAGTGGGTTTTCAAATAAAAAATGCAGTAGCCTTTTCTCCTAATACTAGCGGCTTTGGGGCGTCTGCCTCGGCCTACTATGCATTAAAGACAAGCCAGGATTAGGTCATGTGTTGATAGGCTTTGGCTTGTGTACATGGCAGCACTTTGAGATGCTTCAGAGATCATTCAGAATTCACTGACAAGGGCGTTAGAGATGCAGTTGACCTCATTCTGACCGGCATTTGACCTTCTTCAGATGGGTTTTTTCATTTCTATATACTTTTATTGGAATGCAAAACCTATTTGAAGCAAACAAAAGCCCATCAACACAGGCCCTTACACATATCATTCTATGGACATCTAATGTTTATGGCCATCTTCAATTCTGGTCACTGGTTGATATTTTTGCTTTTGGAACGTCTCAAAATTCACCTGTTCAATGACTTTGTTATGTATCATACTATACTTTAACGGGGAGATTAACATAATTTAAAAACAGTGTCATTGACGTTAGATCTTCTAATACTTGGCCAACATTTCAAAAGGGCACCTCTAATGTCTGTCCCCAAGCCTAAAACTCTTTTTTTTCTTTTCTTTGAGTTTTATTATTAGCTTGACCAACTCTGTTTTGAAAACATTTAGCTCGATGATGTTTTTACAAGAGGTAATGCATTAATGCTGTACCTGCTTTACTCTTGTTAACCGCTCTTTAAGGTGGGAATACAGATTCCTTAGACCATGGTCTAACTGGGAAAGCTCTTCTTTTAGGTTTTGGTGGGTTGCATTGCAAGACATGTATACAGGCTGATAGTGATGTCACAGGCTACAGATGGATCCAAGTGAGGCACATTTAGGATGAAGCCAGTGAGAAAGCTGTGTCACAAGCTGAAGTAGGCCCATGTAGTGTGTTCTACAGACACTCGAGTCACATTTTTGGTTTGTAGGGATAAGGCTGTGATTTCATATTATCCTTATTCCAGCACAAAATAACACACGGGCATTTACCAAGACTGGAGCAGCTGTGCATGGCAATCAATCGGCTTCTATCTTTCATTTTCAAATTCTGATTCTGTCTGCTTGTGTATTAAGGAAGTTCCTCCCCACTGAACTGTGTCCACAGGCAGACATCACCCAGTGTTACTTTTAGGCTGCAGTCACACTTTCACGTAGCTGGAACTAACGTTCCCACTGCACAATGTTGTGGAGCATTTTGCATGCCAATAGGGTTAGTCCATTAACTTGAATGGGCTGCCCTACACGCCTTTGTCACCCAAAAAGAAGCACCAGCTACTTTTCAGGAAACAAGCTTCACATGATTTTGAAAGGTGGCAGAATCGCAGCGCATTTGGGGTGCCGTTAGGGATAATGGCACCCAAACGTGTGTTGCACATCGATTGCCATGCAAATTGGGATCACAGGCAGAATCACAGGAGATGTGAATGAGGCCTGACTCCTGCTTTACCAACATTCCCATTGTAACTCAGTAGTGAAAGAACTGTCCATACAGTATATGCATATGAAACCATTTCTTGTACAAACATTTTGTATGTGTTGTGATGCACTTTTACACAAGTGCAGTGGACTACCTAGATGTGTTAAGGTGCCAATTGTTCCTGAACACGAAGAGGACCTAAAGAAAGGGAAAGAAAAGGTACTGACTATAAAAATCATTCAGATTTTCCAATGCAGGTTTAAACATGAAAGTATGTATCTGATGACCTCTAAATATAGAGAGGTCTCATGCTCAAAATTGTCTGAAAAGGGAATGGTTACCGCTACTTATCACAACCAATCTGATTCTCTCTTTCCTTCCCTCATGTTGCTTTAGAACCATAAAATGGAGATACTGATGGGTTGCTTTTGGCAGCAAATACAATTCTTCCCAATGCTTCCAACTATGTCATCAAAAGTCAGAATGGGACATAATTAGTGTCTGGAATTGGAATCACACAGGATCAGATAAACAGAGATAATTAACATTTGAAAGGCACCATTTGGCCCCACATAGTGCTCTACAGTAGCAATAAATTCTCATTCACTACAAGGACTTTTATTCACTGTACATGTCCGTTTTTTTAAAACTATGCCCTTTTTACAACCAGGTTCTTATAATTTTAGAAATAGTCTTAGAAGTTCTGAAGAGTTTTAAGTACATGCTTCACTTGGCCCAGCCCGTGCTTGCCTCCCCATTTATATATGCAAAGCCAGGAAAATGCTGCATGTGTTCATATTCTGAGTTCCTTCGTGTAGCCAAGGATGTGTACATGTCAGTAGAGCTCCCATATCTGCCAGAGTGCATAGAAGGGGAGGTATAGCAGCTGTTGCTTGATGCCACATCTGGCCAGCGTGGTGCCACTTGACTTGGATGAAGTCTGGGAGTGCTGCTCATCAGACAAGGCTCCATTCGCGTCTGGCTGTTAAATGGGTACTGCAGAAAAAAAGTATAAATACAAGAATGTTAACATACTTACTGTACTAAAACACTCTAAGGCAGTGGTTCTTAACCTTGTTGGAGGTACTGAACCCCACCAGTTTCATATGCGCATTCACCGAACCCTTCTTAATTGGAAAAATAAAATATGAATTTTAAAATTCAAAACATAGGTATATATTTATACATAGGTGCACAAAATGAACAAAACCGTTAAGAACAAAGAACAAAACCATTAAAACATGATTTTCACACAAATACAAAAACATAATAATGAATATTTACTGCACGAATCATATGAGTCGGGTGTGGGTCTTCACCTCCGCCGAACCCGCGAGACTGACTCACCGAACCCCTGGGGTTCGATCGAACCCAGGTTAAGAACCACTGCTCTAAGGGGAATTTATGAAAACTGTAGCAGCTCTGCATGGCAACCAATCAGCTTCCCTCTTTCATTTTCACAGCTTAAAGCATAGCTAAACTCTGCAATACTCACCTCTCCATCTCTTTTGACAGTCTGACATCCCAGTGCTGGGCCATGGCTGTCTTCATTAGCACACAATCGCAAATACAGCTCAGTGTACAGTCCAAGGAGGACTGTGAGCAGGCAGGTAGGTTTATTTTAAAGCCTACCAAAGCTCCAAAGCTCCGAGCTTCCTGAGGACGCCAGATTGGCAAAACATGTAGAGGCAGAGTTTTACGTCCAGCTACATCTGGGTCCATTGATGTCACTTCCATTTCTGGCTATTGCCAGCTCCAGTGAGAGAAGTGGGGTTAGCGCAATACAGCTGAGTGTATTAGTGCCGAGGATTAGGCACCAACAAATGTGAGTGCACCGTTATTGTTTACATTGAAATTGATTTTTAATAAAGTTACTACACCATGAGAATTTTTTTTTTTACTTATGTTGATTCGAAACTGCGGAATTAAATGGGGAGAATATATAGAAGAAATCCACTTAGATTATAAACCCTGGTGACACAAAACGCAATTACTTCTTTTAAGTAAGGGGTCATGGATGGTTGGTAAGTGCAATATATTGGCACATGGTGGTGGAGCACAAAGAGGATTCACACAAAGATATATATATATATATATATATATATATATATATTAAGCACTAGAAGAATATATTTTTGGCACACAATTTGGTGTGGGACTTTTGACTATTTGCAAGCAAATATAATTTTTCATATATTATTTTTTCTGTGTTGGAATTCAACCAATGGCTTAATATATATTTATGTATGTGAATCGCCAGACCTTTACTTAGTTATTTTATTTAACTGGAAACTTTTAGACTGCAAGTGTAGTCAGATGAAGGGAAACCTCAAACAATCTCAATAGCTCTGGCGAGGCAGCTCCTATATAGCAAAACTACCCTCAATGGACACCCAACAGTAGTTAAAATCACAGAAATACAGAAACAAGTGCCAGATCAAAGAGCACAAGATAATTTTATTTGTCCAAGGACAACACCATTGCCCCTTCATCAGGCTCATCAAAGGAACCAGTGTTGAACTCTCTACATGGAGCATCAACTTGACAGTAGTTGCTGAGCAATGAGGCTGAAACCTGCTAGCAGTCCCTGCTGGTTTCCTTTTTTGACAGAAACACTTTAAATGTGTGAATCAAATGAAATACAGGCAAACAGTAAGATTCCATCATAATGGCTAGCAATCTGTGGACCTGAATGTGAGCCTATTGGGGTAATTTAACCGACAAAAAATCGACTCTAAACTGAAATACCACCCTTAGATGCACTAAACCTTTAAATATTGCTATCCTTACATAATGTACAAGATTTCTGAGCTGTCTGATAAGCTATCTGCTATATTAACAAGCAGGAAGACAAGGATAATACAGAATTAAACAGAGCCAGCTATGTTCCACTTGCTCAGTCACAGCTGTGAATGTCATCAGTTTAAAGGACAAAACTAAATCTAAAAATGATACAGACACTTCAGCCACATAATAAATGCTATTATGACGGGAAGATGGAAAGTTTTGTCATTTTGGGTCAGCTAATTGAAAAATGACTCATTATTTTTTCCCCTGCCTGTTGCAGTGAAGAGACTATTGAAAGACAATGTTTTAAGACCGCACCACTGGCATGCGCCTCACCACGTTCCAGTGAACTTTCTATTCAGCCCTTGTTACAAACGTACAAACATAGCCATCTGCACATGGGCTGGCGTGGTGCGTCCACAGTCACCTCTCACACTGCACATCCGGTTTTATGAAGGGGACTAAGGTCCTACAAGCCAGGCTCCTAGTGATCTTTGTGGAGGATGAAGGCGACATTTGTTTTGCTATTCTCAACAGGAAATGACCACTTTCTGCATCAGCTAATTCTTGGCTGGAAAGAAGCATTAACCCTTTAGTAGTGGTAGTTTATGGGATAAGTGCACTTTCACATAAAGTGCACTTATCATGTCTGGCTAGACCTAAAGTAGACCTTTGTCCTGTCCCAGACGTCTACTTCCCTGAGTATTGACATCCCATAGTCCAAATCTTCTTGCAGCTGGCTGTGATTGTAAAGTTGGTCCCCATAGACTCCTGAGGAACGTAGTCAGCCTTGTGAGCCAGCCTCATAGGAATGGTAGACTGCACAGTTTAGGCAACAAAATGTTGATTTACGTTAGAGGGCCTAGGCAAGTAGCATAAGTGCATTCATCTTCAAAGGACCTATACCCACTGCCATTTTTAAGATTGAACTCTGGGGAAGTATAAAAGACACAAACTTTATTGGGTTTATTTGCAAAATCCTTTCCCTTTTTATTAACAAGTTCAATAAATTGTCTTATTTTTATGAAAACTAATAAGCTATACCCTGTTAATTCCGAATTAAAGTACTGTATATGTGAACCTTTACCTTGTAAAACAACAGTTTAAAATTGTGTGTGTGTGTGTATATGGAGGTGCATCTCAATAAATTAGAATATCATCAAATAGTTAATTTATTTCAGTAATTCAATTCAAAAGGTAAAACTCATATATTATATAGATTCATTACACACAGAGTGATATATATCAAGCATTTCTTTCTTTTAATTTTGATGATTATGACTTACAGCTAGTGAAAACCCAAAATTCAGTATTTCAGAAAATTAGAACATTACATAAGACCATTCAAAAAATGGATTGTTAATACAGAAATGTTGGCTTACTGAAACTTATCTCCATATACAGTATAGTATGCACTCAATACTTGGTCGGGGCCTCTTTTTGCATAAATTACTGCATCAATATGGCATGGCATGGAGGTGATTAGCCTGTGGCACTACTGAGGTGTTATGGAAGCCCAGGTTGCTTTGATAGCAGCCTTCATCTCATCTGTATTATTGGGTCTGATGTCTCTCATCTTCCTCTTGACAGTACCCCACAGATTCTCTATGGGGTTTAGGTCAGGTGAGTTTGCTGGCCAATCAAGCACAGTGATACCATGATCATTAAACCAGGTATTGGTACTTTTGGCAGTGTGGACAGGTGCCAAGTCCTGCTGAAAAATAAAATCAGCATCTCCATAAAGCTGGTTAGCAGAGGGTAGCATAAAGTGCTCTAGAATTTCCTGATAGAGGGCTGCACTGACTTTGGACTTGATAAAACACAGTGGACCAACACCGGCAGATGACATGGCTCCCCAGATCATCACTGACTGGACCTCATGCAACTTTGCCTCTCCACTCTTCCTCCAGACTCTGGGACCTTTACTTTCATTCGAAAAGAGGATTTTGCACCACTGAGCAACAGTCCAGTCCTAATTTATCCTTAGCCCAAATAAGACGCTTCTGACGTTGTCTCTGGTTCAGGAGTGGCTTGACACAAGGAATGCGACAGTTGTAGCTCATGTCCTGGATACGTCTGTGTGTGGTGGCTCCTGAAGCACTGACACCAGCCGTAGTCCACTTCTTGTGAATCTCCCTTCAAATTCTTGAATGGCCTTTGCTTCACAATCCTCCCAAGGCTGCAGTAATCCCTATTGCTTTTTTTCTACCACACTTTTTCCTTCCACTCAACTTTTCATTAATATGCTTAGATACAGCACTCTGTGAACAGCCAGCTTCTTTAGCAATGGCCTTTTGTGACAATGACTGTCTTTTGGACAACTGTCAAGTCAGAAGTCTTCGCCATGATGGTGTAACCTGCTGAACCTACTGAACCAGACTAAGAGACCATGTAAAGGTTCAGGAAATGTTTACTGGTGTTTTGAGTTAATTAGCTGATTAGAGTGTGACACCATTAGTCTACAATATTGAACTTTTCCACAATATTTTAATTTTCTGAGATACTGAATTTTGGACTTTCACTAGCTGTAAGCCATAATCATCAAAATTAAAAGAAAGAAATGCTTGAAATATATCACTCTCTGTGTAAGGAATCTATATAATACATGAGTTTCACTTTTTGAATTGAATTACTGAAATAAATTAAATTTTTGATGATATTCTAATTTATTGAGATGCACTTGTGTATATATATATAAGTGATCCCATAATCTCTGTTCTCAGCTGCATAACGAGGTTTGGAGAGGTGCAGGTGGAGAAATAGCAGAACACTGATCTTCACAGTGAATAGCTGTACAGGGGGGTATGTAAGCACAACTCTGATCATTGGAGGACAGGCAGGCTGTTGTCCCAAGACAGCTAGACAATTGACCACACTGGGCTGGGTGTGCTCTCATGCCTAGCGTGGCAAGTTTAAAAATAGGAGAGCAGGGGGACTGGCAGTAATACTAGGTATTTCACACAAAGGAAGCAATACAAACAGAACAGGATAATTTTAACATTTCAACACAAGTACATGGTACAACAGACACATAACAGGAATATAAAAGGTTGGGTTAACATATTCTTGAAAATATTTCTTGGGAAAGAACTCAATTATTTTATACCAATCTACTCCAATGCTCTTGTTCTAGAAAATAAAAAATAAATAAATATATTTTTATATATATATATACAGTCATGGCCGAAATTGTTGGCACCCTTGATATTTCTCCAGGAAATCATGTATTTCTCACGAAACGTATTGCATTAACACATGTTTTGCTATACACATGTTTATTCCCTTTGTGTGTATTGGGACAAAACAAAAAAAGGGAGGAAAGAAAGCAAATTCGACATAATGTCACACAAACCTCCAAAAATGGGCTGGACAAAAGTATTGGCACCCTTTCACAACTGCGGATAAATAAGAATGAATGTTACAAGCATGTGATGCTCCTGTAAAAACTCACCTGGGGCAAGTAACAGGTGTGGGCAATATAGAAATCACACCTGAAAGCAGATAAAAAGGAGAGACGTTCACTTAACCTTTGCATTGTGTGTCTGTCTGTGCCACACTAAGCATGGACAACAGAAAGAGGAGACGAGAACTGTCTGAGGACCTGAGAACCAAAATTGTGGCAAAATATCAACAATCTCAAGGTTACAAGTCCATCTCCAGAGAACTAGATTTGCCTTTGTCCACAGTGCGCAACATTATCAAGAAGTTTGCAACCCATGGCACTGTAGCTAATCTCCCTGGTCGTGGACGGATGAGGAAAATTGATGAAAGATTGCAACGCAGAATAGTCCGGATGGTGGATAAGCAGCCCCAAACATGTTCCAAAGACATTCAAGCTGTCCTGCAGGCTCAGGGAGCATCAGTGTCAGCGCGAACTATCCGTCGACATTTAAATGAAATGAAACGCTATGGCAGGAGACCCAGGAGGACCCCACTGCTGACACAGAGACATAAAAAAGCAAGACTACAGTTTGCCAAAATGTACTTGAGTAAGCCAAAAGCCTTCTGGGAAAACGTCTTGTGGACAGATGAGACCAAGATAGAGCTTTTCGGTAAAGCACATCATTCTACTGTTTACCGAAAACGGAATGAGGCCTACAAAGAACAAAACACAGTACCTACGGTAAAATATGGTGGAGGTTCAATGATGTTTTGGGGTTGTTTTGCTGCCTCTGGCACTGGGTGCCTTGACTGTGTGCAAGGCATCATGAAATCTGAGGATTACCAAAGGATTTTGGGTCGCACTGTAGGGCCCAGTGTCAGAAAGCTGGGTTTGCGTCCAAGATCCTGGGTCTTCCAGCAGGACAATGACCCCAAACATACGTCAAAAAGCACTCAGAAATGGATGGCAAAGAAGCGCTGGAGAGTTCTGAAGTGGCCAGCAATGAGCCCAGATCTAAATCCCATTGAACACCTGTGGAGAGATCTTAAAATTGCTGTTGGGAAAAGGTGTCCTTCCAATAAGAGAGACCTGGAGCTGTTTGCAAAGGAAGAGTGGTCCAAAATTCCGGGTGAGAGGTGTCAGAAGCTTATTGATGGTTATAGGAAGCGACTGATTTCAGTTATGTTTTCCAAAGGGTGTGCAACCAAATATTAAGTTAAGGGTGCCAATACTTTTGTCCAGCCCATTTTTGGGGTTTTGTGTGACATTATGTCATATTTGCTTTTCTGCCTCTGTTTTATATTTGTTCCAATACATACAAAGGGAATAAACATGTGTATAGCAAAACATGTGTTAATGCAATACCTTTTTTGTGTGAAATACTTGATTTTCAGGAAAAATATCAAGGGTGCCAACAATTTCGGCCATGACTGTATATATATATATATATATATATATGAACATTGTAGCACTTTTTTATGAAATTGCGAGAATCAGGTTCTTACCAAAAAAATACCTCCATTGAGAATAAGGAATGTGTATATGTAGTTGAACTACCTGGAATGACATTTATTCTGTGCGTAATAGTCTGAATCATACCTTCGCTTCCTCCTACTGTTTTGTTAAAACCAAATGTGTGTTGGGAGCGGTCTTTCCCGTAAAGCTTCATTCTAAATGAAGCATTTAAATATTTAGGATGCCAATCTCATGTTGATTGCGTCAACATAATTGTTTTCTTGTAACTGTTCAATTTCTGAAGAATTTTGCTATTTGGACATCACTATGTGCCAAAGTACTTATAACACAGGGACAAGGAAAAGGTGGAATAGAGTTTACAATAAAAGTTTGTTTACAAGATCATTATATTTTTCTGAATTTCAAACTTAAAAGGACTTACAAAGATACCAATATGCCATTATTGCTATTCAATGAAGTAGTCATTGTTATTACTGAATAAAGTGGACCAGCATTAAAGTCTAAGTTCACTTTTCTAAAAAAAAAGAAAAAATTTGCATTTACTTTTTTCACAGGAACCTGCAAAGCATTGCACGCAATCAGAGTATCATGGGTGCAATGCCAGGCTCTTGCAGACTCTCCCAGACCTCTGTACTGGAGGAAGTGTCAATAAACTGCGAGTGCAGAGATCACCACACTTGCATTCCATTGTAAACTACAGGCCCTTCTGACGTAATGGCAGACGGGACTTGTAGTTCATTTATTTATTCATTCACAGAATTATGTGAATGAATGAATAACACAGTTGCTAAATGGTTAGCGCTTCCGCCTGGCAGTGCTAGGGTCATTGGTTCGAATCCCAGCCACAGCACCTCCTGCCTGGAGTTTGCATGTTCTCCCTGTGCCTGCATGGGTTTCCTCCCACACTCCAAAGCCATGCTGGTAGGTGAATTGGATCCTGTCTAAAATTGGCCCTAGTATGTGTATGTATGAATGTAAGTTAGGGACCTTAGATTGTATGCCCCTTGGGGGTTAGGGACTGATGTGAATGTACAATATATATGTAAAGCGCTGTGTAAATTGACAGCACTATATAAGTACCTAAAATAAATAAATAAATGACGTACCTGTGCAGGCAGAGGGCAGAGCTTGGCTGTATTCCTATATGTCTGACACAAATCAGCCCGGGAGCAGCCTGTCACCCTGTGATTTGATTACAGTTTTTTAGTCTGTTCAGTGGAGCAGAGGAGACTGAGGAAATGCTTCCTTCTGCCTGTAGCAGACTTTTTACATCATCTCAGCCTAGGCAAAATCACAGTTGACTGAATTGTTAACCCTTCCCCACTTTACTATGTTTTTTTTGTTTGCCTGTTGGGGAAACTGTGTCACATCCTGACAGTGGCTTCAGGGGGATCTCCTCATTAGGGACACAGTTGGCAATAAAAAAAATAATTACAAAGGCCATAATCCTTTACCAATGAATCTAAAGTGAAAAACTTTTGGCTAGATTTGTTGGATGTTGGAAGGTGAGAAGTCAGGATCCCAGCATCTCACCAGAAAGAAGATGAATATTTAGCAAAATCTGAAGAATTAGTTTGGGGTGGACTGACCCTCTAAATTATAATCATACAACTGTTAAATAAGCATGACTTGAGCCATACAGACCTGGGAGGTGCTTCTGTAGGCTGTATAATGAAGTGGTCCCGTAATTCCAGCCTCATGGGGTAAAGATGTATATTGAGATGCTATTGGATGATGACTCTGATTGCTGTAGGTTCCATAATTATAGCTCCCTGTATACCTGAAATAAAAAATAACAGCAATAAGTAACACATTTGACGTTCTGCACCGATTATATAAAGTTTATTTCTTAGATATAACATTTCATGAAGCTTTTGGCTAAGACCCTATTGGGACAACATGTTGCTCTAGGCACCCCTGCATTGTGATGCTTTTCTATATAAACTGCATTCAAGGTAAAGTGACAGAGTCTCATCCTGGACAACCCCCGACCGACCTTCGCTGCTCTTTTTATTTACAGAACCATAGGAAATAACCAGTGTGTTATATCCCCTCAGTATGCAGTGTTTTGGCTTGAGCACCCAGCCACCAGGCCACAGCGCTCTTACCCAACAAGGACAACATTACCTTTGTAAGCCTCAACACCATCCAACACGGAGCATGCTTAGGCCTGCCCTGCAGCAGGGGAGTGCATGGAAAGTGAATATCGGGGGAAGTGAGCTTAAAAGAGACTGTTAAATTTTCCTGAATGCAGTGTCTTTAACAGATAATGGGTTTTCTACTGATTTTGACAGATATTTTAACAGATATGGGCAGCACAGTGGCTAAATATGGGCAGCACGGTGGTAAATGGTTAGCACTTCCGCCTGGCAGTACTAGGTTGTTGGTTCAAATTCCAACCACGGCACCACCTGTCTGGAGCTTGCATGTTCTCCCTGTGTTTGCGTGGGTTTCCTACGGGTACTCTGGCTTCCTCCCACACTCCAAAAAACATGCTGGTAGGCTAATTGGATCCTGTCTAAATTGGTCCTAGTATGTGTATGTATGAATGTAAGTTAGGGACCTTAGATTGTACACCCCTTGAGGGTTAGGGACTGATGTGAATGGAATGTACAACATATATATATAAATATATGTAAAGCACTGCATAAATTGACTGTGCTATATAGGTACCTGTAATAAAAATAAAATATTATGAGTTGCCAAGAATGTTTCCTTGGCCAGTATATAATGTTTAGGGATCATAAAAAAATCAACTAGTGTCAACTAGCTCCCCTACTGGCCTGGAATGCTGATGGGTGAGGGAGCAATTAGGGAGTAACATTGAGCTGGACTGGGCCAGCGAGGGAACAACTCCATTGTAAAAGGTACAGGGGTCTCTTAGTGAACCTGGCACTGGCGAGTATTCACCAGCAACAGGATAGCTCATCTGACACCAGTACATGTTAAATGAAGGCTTCCAGGAGGATGGAACTTATGTTAACACCAATTAAGCATTAAAAAACAAAACAGCATACCCCTCTACATCTAGTAAGAATCAAACAGTTCAAGCTCTAATGTTAGCCAAAACTATGCCATTTTCCAAAAAGACTGGAGAAAAGGACCCTTTGGAGGTGATTTAATAATCTTACTTACCCATGTTCTTCTCGATGCGGATAAACAGGTATTCGATGTGTGACAGAAGGGGACATGTGTGCACTCCTCATACACGGGACTTGCTGGGGGCTCTCAGGAGGTCCGTTAGCAGCTGTGGTGACAGTGTAGGTTAGAGACCATGTATATGACTGCATTGTACCTACAGAAATGAAGCCGGGAATCACATTACACAGCAATACTTGTCTCATCTTCAGAAACAGAACTTACAGGACCCCAGTCATTTCCACACAGAAGAGACAAATGTTTCATGAGCCAACAAGCCAATTAGTTTGCTAGAGTCTGGTCACATCAAGGTATCAATCTCCAAGTTAACAGTCAATGGCTATTTTCAAGGTAAGAAATTTGCAAATCTATTTAGCTTCCTCTTTTTAAGACTTTAGTTAATTAAAAGTTTTATTAATTGAAGTGATATTAAAGGCATATTTTAAAAATAACAAACATGTTATACTTACCTGCTGTGTGCAATGGTTTTGCACAGAGCAGCCCCAATCCTCCTCTTCTTGGGTCCCCCACAGATGCTCCTGGCCCCTCTCTCCTGTCTAGTGCACCCAGTGCAAGCAGCTTGTTATGGAGCACCCACTTCCTAATAAGTCAGACTTCTAGCTCTAAATTCAGCAAAGCTCATGCCCCCCACTGATTGGAAAGCTCTACTTCTGACTCACAGGGGATTATCAGAACTCTGCAAAGAGACCGCTGCTTCCCCACAGAGAGCAAGGGTCCCACTCTGCAGCATGCTGTCAGGGTTCAGGATTTTTTTTTAGGCTGTGGCTGATTTAAAAAAAAAAAGAAACATGTAAGACTTTGCACACCTTTTTGTTTTGATGTACCTGGAACACATCTAGCCAATTTAAACTATTGGTATTATTGTTCTATTGGGATTAAATATAGATATATTGCTTCCTACATATCATTAAGCAAGAGTAAATTTTCCTATCATCATATGCTCATGCAAGCATACATATACAAGGATTCATAATAATCTCAAATGAACACACAATACAACAACTAGGTCATGGTTATATGTGGCCATACATGGGACCTGACTGTAGCACAGTAAAGTGTTCATAGTGTGTGACTGTGACTATCTTCATCGTATTGGGGAAATTTACCCTCACTTCCTATCTTGGAAATGAAACAGGAAGTGAGAGGAAATCTCTCCAAAGTGATGAGAAATCTCTTCTTAGGAAGTTTTCACTGGAACAGGTGTCCTCATTGGAAGACTGCCCCTCACCTATCATCACCTGGTGACAACAGTAAGGCTAGGTTCCCATATGTGCGGGGTGGTGGGGCTGCAGGACCTGCACAAAAATACCTGCAGCCGCACCACCCGCACAGAGCAATGAGTGGGTGCCATTAATTCTAATGGCATGCCACCCGCACTCGAAATTGCAACCATACTGGGAACCTCGGTTCCCGTGCGGGCTGTGGTTTCCAAAAAGGGACTTCTTCCCTATGTGTCCTGGGGCAAGGGCGTCCATTCAAATGAATGGGCTCTCGTGCCTGTGCAAAACGTGGCCCACACGGCCGCAGATATGTGAACCAGGGGTAAGTGTCAGGATTTCCCATAATTATCTTTTTCCTTGACAACAGTGATCAGTGCAAATAGAGGAAGTGATCCTACCCAGCAGGGAACAGATGCCAATACAAACCTGATAGGGGTTCTAAAAGAAAAATAATAATGATGTAGTTAAAGAAAAGTATGGCCAAAGCTTTTATGGCCATACTTCTCTTATGGGTCACAGGAGTGCACTGACCCAGAATCAGCCAACAGCGGGCTAAAGCCCGCTGATGACTGACATCACAGAGCGGCTCCAAGCTCTGGAAGGATTCTGACCATATTGTCAGGATTCACCCAGTTGTTTTATGGACAGCTGGGTCCATCTCTCAGCATGCGCCCTCTCTCCAGCCTGGCGCTCTAGTGAGTGCTAGAGGGGTAGAACAGACAGAAGGTGACTGACAGTCACCTTCTCTCCACTCAGAGGAGGCAGAGAACTGAACAGTCAGTGGTCATGAGATCACTCAGTTCTTTGTATTAGAGCTGGTGAGGGACAGCTCCAGCATCCTTTATTTTAATACAGAGCTGCATCAATTTGTGCCTTATCTGCCAGGAGTTCGGCTTTAAAACAAAACATCACGTATTAAAGTATAGCGAGTGATGACGTTAATAAGCAATTAATTTTAACACAAGCAAGCAAAGCTTTAGGTTAGTAGTTATTAGAAAATGAAGTTATCTAATGTATTGGAGGATATACATGACCTGGAATTTACGACTTTGGGTAAAGTTTAACTTTCCAGTTAAGTCTGCAGTATTTGATTACAAGTGAGCAACACCCGTATCTATTGAAAATCTATTGTCTCAGCATTTTCCTTCAGGAAAGATTTTGTAGTGTGGACCACCCAGTTTGTTAGCTCATTAGTATTTGTTTATGTAAATGAACCAGGGAGAAATGTGAACCAAGTCAAACAAAGGATGCAAGAAAAGAAATCATTTGCATTGCTTTACAGACCTTAGAGTACAAACTAGTACTTTTAGACTGCAAGCCAACCAGAACAGCAGTAGCACAGGTTTGCATGAAAGCTTCAGAATGGGATGGAGGTAAAAAGCAATTGTTGTTACTACTATCTAATCGCAGTTAGCTAAGCTGGTAATCACAATGACCAATGCCCTGCCAAAGATCATAGAAGTTAAAAAAAAAACACAGGACAATACTCAAGCTTCCTGGATGAACAGATTTTCTTTTTTTTTTTTGGAGAGAAAATGAAACCTAAATAAAAAAATTAAACAGAATCAAGATACCTATGCATAGAATTAAAAACAAAAATACAAAAAAAATATTTTCAGGGGAAATATTCATTGCAGCTGGGAATTTACAGACAGAGGGATACCTTTTGTAATTTGGAGGATTGAGGCCCTACTACAAGGAAAGTTTCTCCATCCATGCTACAACCAAGAACTGGCCCTCATTAGAGATGAACAGAGCGATTCCAACTAAATTTATTTTGTCTTCAAATTTTGCCATTAAGGAAAAATCACAGAAGTAAAAACTCCCATTTTTTTCAGTGAGTTGCTTGAACATGTGAACTTTGCTTAAACATCTACTCTTATTCAACGTAAAGGGTGTAGTGGTTAAATGGTTAGCACTTCCACCTGGCAGCACTAGGGTCGTCAGTTCAAATCCCTACCACGGCACCACTTGCCTGGAGTTTGCATGTTCTCTCTCTGCCTGCATGAGTTTCCTCCCACACTCCAAAGACATGCTGGTAGGTGAATTGGCTCCTTTCTAAATTGGCCCTAGTATGTGTATGTATGAATGTGAGTTAGGGACCTTAGATTGTACACCCCTTGAGCGTTAGGGACTGATGTGAATGTACAATATATATGTAAAGCACTGCGTAAATTGGTGGTGCTATATAAGTATGTGTAATAAATATTTAGGGTAGTTTTGTTTCTTCATTTAGTGTTTTCTGGATATTAAATTATTTGTTTACTGTGGCTTTAATTATTTTATTTTTCTTTTTTTTCTGCTGTCTGTTTTTTTATCTCTGTGAAACATTTTAAAATAGTGAGGATAAGAGAGGCCATTTTTTTAGGCTCGCTTCACACCATTTGTACTGGGCTCCAATGGGAAAGTCCATAAGCAAAGTAAAGGCAATTTGGCTTATTGCCTTTCCTGGATTGCAGTGAAGTGTGTGCTGAAAAAAAGTATGTATGCAAACTATTGTATCTCAATGCTGCTGCTGCCGGGAACAAAACTGAAGGAAATGTCACTTGTGACATTAGCACTGTACCCTCCAGCACATACCAGAGGACATGTGTTCAGCACAGCCTTGCTGGTGTGAATGAGTCCTTAAAGTACACATTCATCTTGGTAGAAAAAAATTCTCCTAGCCCTTTTAATACACACAGCTGAGTCCCCCCCCCCTAGCCAACATGTTTCAGAGGTCCAAATGCCCCCTTCATCAGGGCTTTCACTGGCAATATTGTGAAGAAGCCAGAAGTGAACTGGACCAAGCTGCTGATAAGGCCTGTGCTTGTATTTCACACTGGAAAAATGCCAATTTGCATCTAGTTTGTTCACATTGTTGCCAGCAAGCCCCGATATAGGAGGGGCTTGGACTCCCGAAACGTGTTGGTTACATTTCTGGACTGTACTTTTAATGGAATAAAGTTGTATCTGGACCTCTTAGCAGTGGTGTGGCACGTCAATTTCAATTCTTGTTACATTAAACTACAAGCAAACGAGACTGCGGAGATCCTCTGGGATGTAGCAGCTGCCTGCCAAAGAACCAGATCATTTACACCAACATCCACACCTTAAGATAACAGTACCAGTAATTTAACCCTAAGGGTCCAGTGCTATCTTTCCACTTTCCTCAACTGAAAATTTGGATGTTAGTGCAAATTAAAAAAGTATTGTGGACAGTACTCAATTGCCCTTACTGCCCCTTACTGCTCCACATTTGAGCTCCTACAACCCACGTTTAATATTTCTGTCATTGCATGATTAATGGCATGCACAGAAAAGTAAGATAATGTGCAAGAAATAAACCAAGTCAAGTACTACTCTCCCTTCCCCTTCTCTCTTCCTCTCTGCCTCATTTCTCACTCTTCATCTTCCCTTCTTTCTTTGTAGGAAAATTGATTGCTGTTTCTCCTCTAACAGATAGGCAGTTTATTTGCCCTCATTGTACCCATGCTATCGTTTACTGTATGGGGTTTATCTGTGGCTTCTAGACCTTTCTGTTGTATTAGACCGTGCTCATCTTTTTCAGGGAGTGGAGTTACCCCTGGCTATGATAGAGAATTCTTTACTTCACCTCGTCTATATAGGTCGTTGACCCTGGCTTACTATTCTCGTTTGCAAAAAAAAGGGGGAAAAACCTCCTGCACTGCCAGATGGCTAAGAACCCCACCTAATGGCTGCAAACACCTGACTATAATCAAAATAGTGACACAAATAAATAAATACATGTGAATTTGTGTTGCGCTGCTTAATAAATAGGTAAATAGACATAGAATAGTGTACAGAGTTGAAATAAATGCTAAAGGAACAATAAGTGTGGAGGCAAATGATGAGTATAACAAATAACAACAGGGGTAAAAATGTGGCCAAAAATGGTAAATGCACACAATAATAA